CTTCTGTGGGGCTAATTACATCTCTCTGTGACTAGCATGTATTTTGAGCTTAAGAAACATTTCCCAGGTAAAAGGAGCACCAGAGTGGTGCTTTCCAAAGGGTATCCTAGAAGCTTTGGGGTGCTGGTCATGTGCTTTATGTGTTCCACACCCCTCCCTTCAGTTGAAGCAGCTCTGTTTTTCTCTATTTTACATTGTGGCATTTGGCCCATCAGTTTTGTTTGGAAATAAACATTCTGCTGCTTAAAATGGTTTGAAAACAAATGATGTAGAAGATCAGATCACTCCCTTCCTAGTCTGTACCAGACACCAGTATTAACTGTGATTCATTACCTTTAATGACACGGAGTAGCCGGGCGCGGTGGCTCACGCTTGTAATCCCAGCACTTTGGGAGGCCGAGGCGGGTGGATAACAAGGTCAAGAGATCGAGACCATTCTGATCAACATGGTGAAACCCCATCTCTACTAAAAATACAAAAAATTAGCTGGGTGTGGTGGCGCATGCCTGTAATCCCAGCTACTCAGGAGGCTGAGGCAGGAGAATTGCCTGAACCCAGGAAGAGGAGGTTGCAGTGAGCCGGGATTGCGCCATTGCACTCCAGCCTGGGTAATAAGAGCGAAACTCCATCTCCAGGGGAAAAAAAAAAAAAAAAAAAGACACAGAGTATTGAATACTTCTGTATGGCTGAGCTCTTGAATGGTGGCTGGTGTTGCATTGTAATGGAGTAACTGGAATCCTGGGGCTTAAAAAGAGGCTGCCAGGTGTGGTAGTGACCATGGTGATTCCAGGTACATGGAAAATATGTGCCTGGAGACCCGTATCTTGCTGCATTACCTGGTTAGGACTTGGAGATGTATCTTTTCGGTCCTCGTTTCATTTGGAGCGCATGTCATGCATTCTCGGAGCAGTCCTCTGTTGTGTGCTAGCAGGTGCTTCAAAACTAAAGGAAAAAACGAGATCCCCTCAACCCAGAGTCACCCCATAGAGGAAGATTGGAATGTTCAGCGTAGTTACCTGGGGCCACTGGAAATGCTTTTGCAGAGCAGGAAGGGCAGGTCCCTTTAGGGGCATTAAGTTCTAAATATAGGGCTGGTTCAGGAACTGAATGTGAAAGTATGCTTGTGTGTCTTTGACCCACCTCCAAGTTTAAGGCTGCATGCCTCAGGCGTTGAGTGACAAGGAAGAGCTGCAGGCTCTATGGTTGGATGAAATACAGTCCAGTGTTCTGATTTGCCTGAGCCTCTCCCTGTTTTGGCATTGAAAGTCCTATATCATAGGAAACCCCTCCATCCTGGGCAAACTGGGATGGTTGGCCACCTTACATGGCCCTGGAGCCCATGCTCTCGCTGCTGCTCAGCTCAACTGTGGCAGCAGCCCTGAAGCTGCCTACCTTGTGCTAGCCCTGTCCACCACAGTGCCGCTAAAGTCACTAAAGCCCTTTTGAAAACACAAATCTGACTTTCTTAAGAACCAAAGAAAGTCCTTGGCAATGGTATTTGCTGTGCGGTTATAGCCATGTCACATGAGCCCTATGTTGTAGCCACTCTGGACGTGCCATTTTTTGGCACCCACAAATTAGTACCAACTTGTAGTTATACCAAATCTCTGTCCTGCCTTACTGGACACTGGACCATGCCATGAACCTCCACAGCCTTGACAGGGAGAAAGGGAACAAGTACCATGATAGGATTCTTTTTTTTTTTTTTTTTGGAGACAGAGTCTGGCTCTATTGCCCAGGCTGGGGTACAGCAGTGGTGAGATCTCAGCTCACTGCAACCTCCACCTCCTGGGTTCCAGTGATTCTTCTGCCTCAACCTCTTAAGTAGATGGGATTACAGGCCTACACCACCATACCCAGCTAATTTTTGTATTTTTTGTAGAGATGGGGTTTCACCATGTTGGCCTCAAATTCCTGACCTCAAGTAATCCACCTGCCTTGGCCTCCCAAAGTGCTAGGATTACAGGTGTGAGCCACCGCGCTCGGCCTATATATTTCTATATGTTCGGGAGACGTCGGCAATATGAATCCTGTTCTACAGGTGAGGTGACGTGCTCAGAGAGTCCTGTGATGTGCCCACACCACACAGGTAGTGAAGCACTGAGCTGGAATTCAAAATGAGGTCTGCCCACCTGTCTGAGGTCCAGTGCCTAACCTGCTCTGTGGGGTCCTGTCATGGGTGGGCATTTGGAGAGAGGGGCTGTCTCAGGATTGCCGAGTCACAGTGCTGGGCCTGCCTCGGAAGGAATGCAGTCCTTGGCTATGGTGGTTGTGGTTTTGCATGTATGTGGAAGAGAGCTGCAGGGAGGAGGGTTATTGGGGAATGTGTGTTTCAGAGGAGTCCTGTAAGCAAAGAAAGAGAGGACCTCCTTCCTGGGAATAGGGTCATCAGCAATACTTTATTATTCGTGTTTTCCCTTCAGTCCATCAGAAAATCCTGCACAGGCCCCATTCTTGGTGGAGCTGTGCCCTCCCGTGAATCCAGCTGGGCTGTCCTCGGATGATGACCGGGGCAGCCTCGCCACCTCAGACCCCTGTGGTCACTGATTCAGCGGATCGCATGTGTCCTGGACTTGAGAGTGCTGATGAGGCAGTTCATCTCTGATATCCCTTTTATCCCTCATGACAGCCACCATGTTGCGTTTCCTAGAATCTGGCTAAGTTCCCACTACCAGGGAAGGCTCAGAGCTGGAGTGTCTGGAAAAGTCACCCATGACCATGAGGCAGGGAGGCTAACCCCAGGTGAGGGCATTGTTGCTGTAGCTGGTGGTGGGGCCACATCTAGTTGCTGGGCAGGGAATGGAAAATTAGCACCCCTAAGGAGAAATTCTGCAGTCACTGAAACTGATCCCAGTGACTTTTCTTGGGTAGGTTTCTGCAATCCCTTCTGCTGTCGTTGGCCTGGGAGACTCAAGGGTGGGTATGGGACAGGGTCTGCAGAGAGCCCGGAGAGAAAGTATCTAGCACTTAGTGAGCGTGTCCTGCTCCACACTTGGTCCTGCTCCACACTTGTGTGTCTAGGTTTTCCTCTCACAGCAACCCAATGAGATGCGATGTTCCCATTTTAGAGACCAGGCAGCTGAGGCTCAGAGGCTCAGGAACTTTCCTCCTGGACCGCAGGTGATGTGGGCTCCAGAGCCAGTCTCCGTGTGTCATGCCGCCTGGCACTGCTGGTTGTGTGGTTTCTGGTGGATGCTGTCCACCCTTTTCCCCCTTGGGACCCTAGGGGCTGTGGGTGGTGGTTTCAGGTAGCTGGGCAGATGTTGCTTTTCTCAAGGGCTAAGTGCTAGAGGTGCTGAGTGGACTCGGGTGTAAAACAAACATTCTTGGGTCGTTGAGTCAGAGCATCTCCCTGACCTCTGACCTGTTCTGCCTCATTTCAGTGCCGTTCTCCCACTGGGAAGGGGCTGAATGTTGACAAACATGCCAATAAGTGACCCCCCTGGGAAATTGCCTTGTATCCTTTGAGAAGGTTGTGGCGGGGAGCAGAAGACTGCGATACTGCTTGTGGTTGGGGCGGCCAGCTGGGGATGTGCCTTGTCTGCCCCGCCAGCCCTGCCCCGCTGTAGGCTCCACGCCTCTTCAGCACTTTCATTCTGTGCCACACAATGGGGCCTTTCCCTATAGCTGGTGTTGTCACCCAGCATCTGGATGTTTCCTGTCCACACTGCTGCTTCCTGGAGGGTAGGAAGTGCGCCTTCCCAGTGACACATGACAGTCTTCACCCATTTGTGTCTGTGTCTCCTTTCCAAAGTCTCACTCGCCGTCTCCTGTTCCCTCACAGCTCTTCTATGGCTTGAGTGGCCTGACTCTTGTCGTACACGCATTCTCTTGTATTGTAATAAGCCTGAGATCCATTCTGGGGGCACTTGCTTGGCTTATTCATCAGGCCTCTTACTTTATAGTGAGTTAGACCTCACTCCACTTCAACACATGACCCCACTGATCTTGCTGCATGACATGGCCCTCATAATATGCAAACATTAGAAAGTATATTTGTAACTGCCATCACAATATGCAAACATTATATGCAAACATTAGAAAGTAAATTTAGTACTGCTGTCACAATTTGGTGTTCTGGGAGTATGAGGAACAGAATGGACCCCTGGCCTGGGGCTTGCTTGAAAGCATTGAGGAGATAATCGGCTCTCAGGAGAGGGTGAGCACATCGTTGGATGTGAAACTGCCTTATTGTGGATTGAACCATAAAAGTAATGTATATGCGATGGAATACTACTCAGCCATAAAAAGGAATAAATTAATGGCATTCGTAGCAACCTGAATGGGATTGGAGACCATTATTCTAAGTGAACTAACTCAGGAATGAAAAACCAAACATTGTATGTTCTCACTCGTAAGTGGGAGCTAAGCTATGAGGATGCAAAGCCATGAGAATAATACAGAGGACTCAGAGGAAAGGATGGGAAGAGAGTGAGGGATTAAAAAAACAACCTATGGGCCGGATGCGGTGGCTCACGCCTGTAATCCCAGCACTTTGGGAGGCCGAGGCGGGTGGATCACGAGGTCAAAAGATCGAGACCATCCTGGTCAACATGGTGAAACCCCGTCTCTACTAAAAATATAAAAAATTAGCTGGGCATGGTGGCACATGCCTGTAACCCCAGCTACTCAGGAGGCTGAGGCAGGAGAATTGCCTGAACCCAGGAGACGGAGGTTGCGGTGAGCCGAGATCGCACCATTGCACTCCAGCCTGGGTAACAAGAGCGAGACTCCGTCTCAAAAAAAAAAAAAAAAACAACCTGTGAGTTTCCAGTTGTAATAAAGCTTTGAGAATTAAACAACAACAAAAAAGTAATGTAAAGGTGTATAGCATTAAATCAGACAATGTATAAATGTAGAGATAAGTAAATCCCACTGGTCACCCCTTACCCACAGATAATCCTGGAGGGACTTGGAGTTTTAAGTCTTGGTTGGTTCCTGGAAGAGTTTGACTTTGTTCTCTTGCCCAAAATTAATAGTGGCCTTTCTTTTCTCTGCAGAACACGGAGAGTTCCTGGCTCTGGACCTTGGAGGGACCAACTTCCGTGTGCTTCGGGTGAAAGTAACCGACAATGGGCTCCAGAAGGTGGAGATGGAGAACCAGATCTATGCCATCCCCGAGGACATCATGCGAGGCAGTGGCACCCAGGTATGACCCTTCTCTCGGGGCAGCCCCTGGTGACAAAAAACTTCCTTGGGCTGTTCTTTCTGCACCTTCTCCAGTCGCTCTCAGCGTGTGGATAGACAGACATCCAAGACACTCCTGGATGCCAGCACAGTTGTAAGGGATCCCTCTCGGCTGGAACTCGGGCTGCTTGGTTGTGTTTTATACCTAATGTGTACTCAGTATTAAAAGCAGTGACTGGAGAGGAAGCATGAAATCCAAGTAAGACGCTGTTCCAGTATTGTCACATCGCAGGCCTCAGGGCTTGGAAGAGGTCGAGCCCTCTGACTCCTGGTCTGTTGTTCTCTCTCTCACGCGAAGCTCCCTCCTGGGAAAGGAATTTCTGACCATGAGTAGAACATGCGGGGAAGATATTTTTAGACTCATAATTTGTCTTTGGGGGTGGCCTTGAGGTAAACTGGCTTTCATTGTTATAATGCTGGGGTTGGAGAAGGGAGGCTGCATACCGAGGACTGTGGGCATTTGAGCGCTACCGAAGGTGTCACGTGACTCCAGTATAACATCAGGAGGGACACAGGGTAGACGCCCTTCCACTGCCACTCCTGTGCCTGCACCAAGCTGAGGTATTAAAGAGGTTGGGCCCTGTCACTCAGGCACTCTAGCTATGTGATTCTGGGCAAGTGATATGGCTTGGCATTCATCTGTATAAAGGGATGGTAGTATGTGGTTTGTGGTGTAGATTAGAGGAGATGATGCCTGTTAAGTATTTGGCATAATGCTGGTGCATAATCTAGTGCTCTTACTGTTTTTTCACAGGGGCTTTTATCTTTTTATCTAATTGCTTCTTGTGCTATCACTTTCTGTGGCTAGTAATTGCATTGTTCCCTGTTGTGGGGGTTGTGGTTGCCTTTTCTTCCAATTGCCTCAGTCTCCTGCCTTAGGCCCCATCCCCCAGATTACAAATATTTAAGAACCAAGTAAACAAACAAACAAACAAAATCACACCTGAAGTTTGGCTGTGATTATGTAAAAGACTTTGTGATGACGATGTGTTGCGTGGATTTTTAAGTTGTGTGAGAAGAACACCCTCTTTGTTGCTCACACTTTGACAACATGCAGGGCCCAGGCACCTGGCAGTCCCTGCAGTGTCGTCCCTAAAGCCTGGCAAGGACAATGAAGTGCGTCTCTGCCAATTGAGAAGAATTCATTTTGAACGTTCAAGATGTGAGTGAAGTTTTTCTTGAAAAACTTAACCTTAAAATCGCTCAGACCACCTAGTTCGAGGGTATCAAGAAAGTCTACTGTCCATGCAATAAATAAGCAAAACATTTTAGTTCAGATTTAAAAACAACAACAACAATTATGAGACCCACCTCAAAGAACATTAAAACTGTTAGGATATTAGAAAGATTTTGAATAAGCAGAAAAAATGTTATCTACAAATGAAACAGAAAACTAGAAGAAAATATAGGTATCTGTTTGATCCTAAGGAATGGAAAGAAGACTGTGTGCCTAAAAGCAGCAGAAAACACTTGGAAAAAGACTGGAAGTTCATTGTGGCTATTTTAGTGGTGAAATTACTGGTGCTATTTTTCCTACATTTTCCCTTTTTTTGGTATTCGGTATCAGTATTTTACTTAAAGGAAAACAAGTGGATTGTAAAAATAATTTAGTTGAAACTAAGAACAAATCTTGAAACCCCAAACTTGCAAACGTCTTTGAAGAATTGCGAACCTGGGCAGTGGCGGTCCCTGGGTAAAGTCTGTCTTCTGGCACATTAATTTCTCCTGAAGAGCAGTGGATTGCAAACCTGAATAGCAGCCACTTAAGATTTTAAAAGTATATCTCATGGAAAGGGAAGTGAGCAGATGTTCAGAGCAGTAAGGAAAAGGAAACTGTTTTAACTCATAACGTGATGCCCTTTGAGCCTTTTTTATGACAGGAAGGTGTTAGCTTTTTCTCAACATCTTACCCTTAGTTACTCCTCAAAGAGAAAATGAGATAGTCTTCCAGTTCAAGGAAGCAATGTCTCCTCTTCCCACTTGAGAAAAGGTGTAGGTTCTTTGAACCCGGCACTAGCCAGTGGAACTTCTTGCAGCGATGGAACCGTTCTCTGTCTTCCCTGTGTAGTATGATAGCCACTGACCCTGTGACATCGAGCCCTTAAAATGTGGCTGGTATGACTGGGAACTGAATTTTTAAGTTTTTTTCTTTTCTTTTCTTTTTTTTGAGGCAGTCTCACTCTGTCACCCAAGCTAGAGTGCAGTGGCACTATCGTGGCTCACTGCAACATCTGCCCCCCAGGTTCAAGCGATTCTCCTTCCTCAGCCTCCTTTGTAGCTGGGACTACAGGTGTGCGCCACCAGGCCTGGTTAACTTTTCGAATTTTTAGTAGAGATGGCTAAGTTTTTGAATCACCATGTTGGCCTTGAACTTCTGACCTCAAGTGATCTGTCCACCTTGGCCTCCCAAAGTGCTGGGATTACATGCAGGAGCCACTGCACTGGCCTGTTTTAAAAATTCTAATGAATTGACATAGCCACAGATGGTCAGTGGCTACTGTAATGGGCAGGCAGTATTTAATGCTCCTTCATGGTCTATTTTTCTCTACCTACCTATGTTGGGAGGGCAATTGGAAATAAAGCAGTGATCAGAGCTGGGGGAGGAGAAACCATTTTGCTTTTCCTCCTTCTAACCCCCGCCTCCAATCTTTGATGATTGGTTTTATCTCTTTGCACAACTTCTGCAACTCCCAAAACTCCCGCAACTCCCCCCTTCTTTTTTTTTTGGATAAACACTATTTGTATCAAAGATCATTTTGACTAGAGTACCAGGAAAAGAAGGTGCTGGGAATTTAATATACGTATCATATAATTCATCTCCAGTCAGTTTCCCAACAGAACAGAATTTGCTGAATATTTCCCTATTTCCATGTTAAAATACTTGAATTCTGTTCAAGGGAGTTGTCTCACCTGCACTGGTGATCCTCATGGCAAGAGAGCCTTGGCCTCCCAAGCCTTTGCTCTTTGAGAATGTTTTGGTTTGGAGGTCAAAGGTTCAGCCTCAGCTGTTGTTAACTTTGCATGGGATCAGACAGAGGGACAGACAGAATGGATGCGGGAAGCTTAGTTAGATCCAGCCATCTTCCAGATTGGGGTGGCCTTGTCTTCCTGGGGCCCTGCTGCTGACCATACCCTAGGCATCAGGAGAGCCAATAGGTCTGTCAGCTTCCCTCCCCCAACCTCTCAATTCCTTTATAAATGCAAATACTTTGTGCGGTTTGGCATAGTGTTTCTCAAGCTACTGTTCCTGGATCACCTGGAGGGCGGAGGCCTTGCTGACAGATGGCTGGGCCCCACCCCACAGTTTCCTCTATCATCGATCAAGGGCGGACCCTAGAATGTGCATTTCTATCATGTTCCCAGGTGATAGGGCTGAGCTTTCTGCTCCAGGAGCACACTTTGTAAAACCATAGTTTAGTGGAATCTTCTTGTTCCTTCCTGGATAGGAAAAGGATAGTTGTCCTCTGACTCATCTTGGCTTTTAGATTTTGTTACTTGGTGAACCTGGAATCTGCCTAGCCTCTTTGGCCTCTGCTTACTTTTTATACCAGAATGCCTCTGGTCTCAGCTCTTAAAACCTACAGGGTCAGCAACTTCTCTTTGAGGGTGTAGGGTGGGCAAGAAGGAAGCCAGGGGATTGTGGGTTTTGGGGCTGATTGAAAGCCTGGCCTATTGTGAATACAGCTTTTCTAAGGCTTAGGAGCTCTGGGTTCTGCACAGTGAGTGTGTGTGGTCATGGCTCTGAGGCTGCTCATCCCCAAAACCCTACTTATTTCTCAGCGCTCTTCATGGACTCACTGGATATTCCGTTTAGAAAGTTAGAAAACAAGGATAACTTCTTTGAATTGCCCTCAGGTGATGAGTTTTCTAGAATGGGGAAAAATATAAAAATTACTTGTTTTTGTTAAGTTGGTTCATAGAATGCCAACAGAGAGTGTTGTCCCCGCAAGCCACTCCCTGCCCCATCACCAGAGATAGGGATGCTAAAATACTTCTTGGCAGCAAGATGGGCTGGCCTTTCTGGTAAGATCATCAACTGGGCATCTATGTCAATGGAGCTCTGATGGGATCACCAAAGCATGTTCTGTTCCCCAGGCATGCAGTGACTTTTTGATTAATGTTGGCCATGATTTCCCCTCCCTCACAGGGTTATCGTGACAGCAGTTTAGATAAATGGCTTAAGTAGAAGACAATATTTAGTAGGCAATAATAATGTTAAGACTTTATATGTATTGACTCATGTCCTCCTTTTTGTAACTCCATGAGGACAGGTCCAGTTATAATTCCCATTTTGTAGATGAGCAAATGAAGATATCAGAGGAGATATGGGTTTTGCACACATTCAGCTAGTTACTTGCTGAGCCAGAAGTGCATGCCCTTAATCTCCATGCTCTTCTATCTCTCTGCTTACCACTCTGTGTTGTGTGTCCTTAGCTGTTTGACCACATTGCTGAATGCCTGGCTAACTTCATGGATAAGCTACAAATCAAAGACAAGAAGCTCCCATTGGGTTTTACCTTCTCGTTCCCTTGCCACCAGACTAAACTAGACGAGGTAAGATGGGCTCTTCACCACTTTCGTGCTTCACTCTTGGGGCTGGGAGGGCTGAGAGGACTTCTGAGCCTCCTGCTATGGTATTGGTGGTAGTACTGGGTGATTGTGCAGATGAAGTTCTGCCTTTCTGGGTAAATGTGTGTGTCAGTGTGGGGAATGGTGAAGAAATATTTGGGGGGTTGAGAGCGCTCTTTGTCACCCTCTCTCCCACACACATTGCACAGTGTCCTTGTCCCATCCAGGGAAACAGGAATGAGAAAGCAGGAACTCCTTGATCTCAAATGCTGTGATAAAGACCCTTGGAAGAAAGATGCTTGGAGAGTTAATGATGTAAGGACACAAGAACAGTCATGTATTGCTTAACAATGCGGATATGTTCTGAGAAATGCTTTATTAAGCGATTTCCCTGATGTATAAACGTCATAAACTTACACAAACCTTGATGGTATAGACTGCTACACACCTAGGTTGTGTGGGACAGCCTGTTACTTCTAGGCCGCAAATCTGTATAGCATGTTATTGTACTGAATGCTATAGGCAGTTGTAACACAGTGATATCTGTGTATCTAAACTAGGCAATAGGAACTTTCCAGCTCTATTATAACCTTGTTACCATCACAGTATATGCAATCTGTCATTTACTGAAACATTGTTATGTGTCACATGACTGCGTCTTATAGTGACAGATCTAACTTGCTCTTTCCATTTCCTGGAGTTTATCATGAAGGACTCATTCATTTAACCTCCCTTCCTGGTCTTTGAGGGGCCTGAGTTTCTTTTTCCTAGGCTAGCCAGGAAGTAATACACAAATTCAACCACGACTTCAGCCCAGTGGCAGAGGTCTCTGCTAATGACGGCAGTTTGAGAGAATGTGGTGTGAACTTTAGTTTTAGTGGGAAATGAATATTCACTCGTTGGTCCTCTTTCAGAGTTTCCTGGTCTCATGGACCAAGGGCTTCAAGTCCAGTGGAGTGGAAGGCAGAGACGTTGTGGCTCTGATCCGGAAGGCCATCCAGCGGAGAGGGGTGAGTGGGGTGGTGGGAGCCTGGGGTCTGTGGGCTCTTCTGGGTCCACCTCGAAGTCTCCCTGAGTGTCCTTGGCTCATCATGATTTGCTTTTGTGGAGCTTAGGGAGAGGTTCTCTTTTCCCTGACACACTTACCCAGTAATTTTGTATGTGATCAGCTGCTTTGTGGGGTGGCGGTTAAATTATCCCAATGAATAATAATCTTAGTCTTGGCACAAGACTCTTTAGTTCTTAACCTGAAGAAGACTTGAATATCATTTCCAAATAAGAAAGTTGGAATGGTGTTAACATGGAGTGGAATGGCACAGAGAGAGAATAAGAAAAACATCTTATCATGGCAGTTATGGGGAGGAAGGGGGAAAGAGAGAGAGAGAGAGAGAGAGGAGAAGGAGTAGTGATGTACAGCTGGAGTCAGGAAAGTCACCCTCTGTGATGATGGTCAGAGCCCTCCCTTTTATCTCCACAGGATTTTGATATCGACATTGTGGCTGTGGTGAATGACACAGTTGGGACCATGATGACCTGTGGTTATGATGACCACAACTGTGAGATTGGTCTTATTGTGGGTGAGTGAGTGAACACTGGGCATGAGGGCCTGTGCTGGCCAAAGTATGGGAGTGTGGGCTGGAAACGAATGGTCCAGTCATTTTGGAGAGCTGAGCTGGGACTCATGGAATTGGGTGTAGCAGAAGACTGGGCCATGTGTTGGGTTGCCCCCAGAGTCTGCAGTGAGAAATCCCAGCCACCCTGCAGTGGTGTAAGAGGGAAGAGGGGTGGGGGAGATGGAGCAGGCGTGTGTATAGCAGTCCCTTGTTTTGGCAGGCACGGGCAGCAACGCCTGCTACATGGAAGAGATGCGCCACATCGACATGGTGGAGGGCGACGAGGGGCGGATGTGTATCAACATGGAGTGGGGGGCCTTTGGGGACGATGGCTCGCTCAATGACATTCGCACTGAGTTTGACCAGGAGATTGACATGGGCTCACTGAACCCTGGGAAGCAACTGTGAGTAGGCCCTTCTTGTGTGGGTGGGCTTGGAGGGGGCCTTGGGAGCTTAGTCTGGGGCTGGTCAGGGTCAGGGGGTGGTTTCTTTACAGTCTTACATCCCCAAAGTTTGCCACGGTGGCCACTGGTCGTAGGAATGTCTGTGACTATTAATTGCTGAAAGGTTCTAAAACAGAGAGCAAGCGGATATCCTAGATTATATCTAATAATGTGTGTCCTTCAGAGGAGTCATTTTGGAAGGTTCTAGTCTGAGTGTAAGTGGGTGGCCCTGCTCTTTTTTCCGCCTTCTATTTGTAAATTGTCTGCGGGAACTGTGAGCCACTAAAGTGTGTTGAGATGGCCAAGACTGGGGTCTCTGAAAGCTCCTTTCATAGCTCCCACTCCATCACCCCCAAAGGACAGGCTGACAGCTGGCTGCTCACTGCTGGCCCCTGGAGTCCCGAGTCCTGCCGCAGCTGCAGGCAGACCTATGCCCTCTGGAGACATTGGCTGAGGAGCTTCCTTGGCGTCCTTCCCTTGGCCCTTGGCCCAACTATGTCCTGGGATGGATTGGAGGAGAGGCTTCTAGCATTTTGGATCCTGAATATTGTATTCTTCAGCCTGGCCTGCCTTCGTTTTTAGTCGCTTTTATCTCTTACAAAACCTTATTTCACCCTCACAAACATTGGCCAAATGTGCATGGGAGACCTTGAAACAGGGATTGCTTCAAGGTCTGAAGCAGTTGCAAAATATTTTGAGCAATACAGATCATCTCTGGTCTTATTGAGACTGTTGTAGAAAAGCTTTGTGTGCAGATCCCTCCTTGGAGAGGAAAATTGAACTCTATAAACCAAGTCAGTGGTGGGCAACCTTTCTTCCCAGGAGAGTCCTTGCTTTCTCAAAGCATGGTTTGTTTACCTAAGTCACAAGTTTCTTTCATATGTTGAAATGTGAGTCCTTTACTTGAACTTTCTGAGGAACATACTGGTTGTCTGCAGTGGGTGATGAGAGGTTTATGAGCTGAAAAGTCACTCAGCGTCTGCCTTCATGAATGAGGCACACCCAAGTCATTCCAAGGAACTATAGGCCCTTTCAAGTGTCAACAGACAAATGTGCCAGCCAGGCCATGACAACACGCCCCCGGCTTATCCTTAGACAAGACAGGCTGAAAGGACATGTACCAAACTGTCATCCATGGTAGCCCTCAAGTCACCATAGACATTTTTTGCACCCTCTTATATGTTTCCAAGTAAGTATCTTCCAAATGTTGACTGGAACAAAGTGTTTTTCAAAACTAGAACAAAAACTTATAAAAAAAAAAAAACACCACCCACACTTGGGAGACCCTCTGGCCTCAGCCCACTCCCCCCAGCTCCCAGAGAACCAGCTGTGTGGGAGAAGATATTGGGGCAGAGACGGAGTTCCTTACTGTTGAAGGCAGGCTGGCATCCAGGCTGGTTTTCTTCTCCGGAATCTCTGCCTGTCTCGGCGCACTAACGCTTAAAATGCGCACTGTGATCTGCGCAGTTTCGCCAGCTCTCTGCCGTACTTGGCCGTGGGTCCTGAGCAGGCTGCTTCCTGGAGGCCTGGGTTCCTCTCCGAATGGTGACCTTGGAATCCCTTCCACACCGCAGTCCTGGGCCTCCTGGTCACTGGGGTTCATTCTAGTTACTGCCAGCAGGGCTGGGCGCCTCCTCTCTCCAAGACACAGATTCTTTCTCAAACATCCAGAAATGGGCCTTTTGCCAAAAAGATTTGCCAGAGATTGGTTTCCGCTGGCTCAGTCCTAGCCAGAAAGACCAATTTCCAAGGAAAACAGTGCCATCTAGTGTTGAAAAATTAAATCATCTTACCGCACTGCTGATCTTTAACCCTTAAAACATGCCTTTATCTTGTCAGCTGCCTGCTCAGAAGCGTGTTTCACTCTCAGACTCCTGAGACCCATCATTTAGAGTTCAGAGCCCAGTGCCGATTCCTCTATCCCAACCTGCCCTTATAATGTTGCCCCATCATCCCCTGCCCCAGGTGATTTTCACACCATTTTCTCTCGAGCCCACCAACAGCTTGCAGGGGTGGACAACGTGAGCAGATGAGTTTCTAGGCCTGTGCCATATATTTAATCAGATCAGCCTTTTCTCTTGTAAATAAATATTGGGCTATGTAAGATTTTAATTTTAAAAAGGATTTTCTGGCTAGAGAAGAATTTTAAAGATTACTACCCTACACATCTTTACCTAAAATACAGACTGTTCCAGAATGTTCCATACTTCCTAGGTATTTCATTTGTCTGCTGAAGTCTCATTCATTCTTCTCCATAGGTCAAGGCCCAGCAGCCTGCAGGGACAGCCCAAGCCAGCTCCCCTGAGCTGTCACCTCTCCACGTATCTTACTCCTGGGCCGTGCTGCATACATTAACCCTTAGTTGTGCTGCAACCCACAAAGTGTGAAGTTTCACATGTGCACATCTTGCTTCAACAGGGAAGCTTTGAGTACACGGACAGTGGGGGCTTTATGTTTTTGGTTTGTGTCTCTCGGCAGGTTTGAAAAGATGATCAGTGGGATGTACATGGGGGAGCTGGTGAGGCTTATCCTGGTGAAGATGGCCAAGGAGGAGCTGCTCTTTGGGGGGAAGCTCAGCCCAGAGCTCCTCAAAACTGGTCGCTTTGAGACCAAAGACATCTCAGACATTGAAGGGTGAGTTTCTGGCCAGCCCCCTCTATTCACTGGATCACCACAAGAGTAGATGGGTAGTTGGGGAATGAGGAGGGGACACCACCTTTTGACTATTCAAATGTAGACTGCAAGAGGGTCTCATATGATGTGGACCATGGTGGGCCTGTGGCTTCACTTCAATTACCAGTCTCCACTTGTTGATTTTGAGGGTGATTGCTACCAGTGACTCAAGGTGCTGGGAACCGTGGTTGGCCTCCGTGTACGGGGACTTGGGTTGTTGCACTGGGTTTGAAGCAGGAGGCTCCCAGAAGGTCCCTGAATGACTCACCTGCATCTGCTTCCTTTTCCTTCTCCTGAAGCTCCAACATCTGGTTCTCTATTGGCGATGCTCAAAAAGGACTTACCATGACTCCCGCTTCATAGTAGAAAGCTAGATCTTTGGATTGGCCAGAGATATACCTACCCAATTAATTCTAATAAATAGAGCTGGGGCCTGCATTTTCACAGCCCAGCAGGGGCAAGAGTGAGGATGGCCTGATTTTTGTTTTTTTGTTAACAGTATCCCAAGAGTCAGGCCTCGTTTGCTGTTCTTGAGATTTCCACTTGTAGATTGAAGAAGTTCTGGTGTTTCAGGTACCAGATGGTAGAGAGGAGGTGTCTTTGGAGCCAAACGAAGCAGTGAAACAGTTCAAATGACTTTAAGGGGAAACTCTTGAAGGAACGGGGCCTACTTGTTGCGATATCCCAAGGTGATGCAAGTACCCGATGGTGATGCAAGATTTAGTTCCCCTGAGAAGGGTGCTAAGGTTATAGCACCAGCCCCTTACCAACTGTCTTTAGGCACAAGCTAAAGCAGTGCCAAGTCCATGGTGAAATGCAATAGACTCCGACTGCTTTAGAGGGAGAAACCAGGTGGACATCATGGCAGGGTTCACATGTGGAAAGTGGCTGACAGCAGAGACACTGCCTGTCTCCCCTAACACGAGCAGATGTAGCACAAACTCCACACACACAACTCGGTGGTAAAGCACCAAGAATAGGACCTCGTTTTTACATAGCACATGCACAGGAAATAGTAGTTTTTCTTAAGTGTGTGTGTTTGTGTGTGTGTGTGGTGTCTTGGAGAGGAGCCTCAGGGTGGCTGTGTTGTATTTGGCAACCTCTTCCTCCTCCTCCTGCCCCTGTGCAGGTGGATTGAGCAGTGAAGAGGGATTCTGCCCCCACTGGGCGATGAATTTGCTGGAGCTGAAGGACTTCCTTGCCACCCCTCGACTCACACACTGGCCACAGTGTGTCAGACACGGTCCCATATGCTGCCTTTCTGTTTCCCAGGGAGAAGGATGGCATCCGGAAAGCCCGTGAGGTCCTGATGCGATTGGGCTTGGATCCGACGCAGGAGGACTGCGTGGCCACTCACCGGATCTGTCAGATCGTGTCCACACGCTCGGCCAGCCTGTGCGCAGCCACCCTGGCCGCTGTGCTGCAGCGCATCAAGGAGAACAAGGGCGAGGAGCGGCTGCGCTCCACCATTGGGGTTGACGGCTCTGTCTACAAGAAACACCCCCAGTGAGTCAGTGTCCAGGGCCTGGAGACTCATTTCCTGGAGCACTTGGGGCTGAGTGACTCCTTAAGCCAGCTCCATTTTGCATTTCAGGGGTGGTGTGGAGGGACCATGGAGCTGAGGGTCTTGGTGGAATGAAAGTTCCCACCTGGGCAAGAGGAAATGGGAGGGAGTCATGTCTGGTGTAAGTGGGGGTGATTTCTGAAGGCTACCGGCGACGTGGGCGCTCCTCAGAGCTCCTCTGGCTGCTTGGCACTCTCTTTGCCACCCTCTTTTTTATGAGTTACTGTTTCTGTCTTTACTCTTAGAATTCTTGGTGATTCCTGCAGGTGCTGTGTCCCCTGCGAAGGGCCACCCCAGCCCAATAGGGTTACCAGCTTCTCTGGTTGACCTTGATATTAAGGTGGCCTTCCCTGTCTATAATAATTTGGTCCCTCAGGTCATAGGTACCAGAATGTTCACATTTCAGCTGAGACCTGGAAGATGTCTCTCTATTGTGCCCACTTATTTCCCTATCATTTTCACCTAATAAGAATGCCAGGTCAATGTGCCTTCATTTTCTTAACTGGTCGGTGCAGGAGGCCTCAGCCCTGAGATTCGCTGTTCCTACCCAAGTGATGCAAAAACTTGAGTGTGCACGTGAATCATGTGGGGATCTTGTTAAGAGGCAGATTCTGATCAGAAGGTCTGGGGTGAGCCTGAGATCCCACATCTCTACCAGCCCCCAGTGAGGCTGCAGCCCACAGACCACACTTGGAGTAGGAAGGCCCTGGAGATCATGGCTCCAAGTGGCTACTACCCAGAGTTCCTGGCTGAACGCACCCATTGTCTCTAGCTGTGCAGACACTTTTGGGATCATTGACAGAAAATGGCAAAATAGAGGCTAAAGTCCAGAGAAGCATTCTAGCTTTTAATTTTGGGTCTTTCCCAGACAGCTAATGGAATGAGTGATGGAACAAGACAAGTAGGTGGCATCAGAGCCACCTAATACCACAGGGCAGCTCCAGCCAAGAGGCTGATGGTACCATGATGGGCAGAGGAGCTGTGGTCAGGGGGCCTTCTTCAGTGAGGAAGAGGAGGTCTTGTGCGACTGCATGCAGGAGACAGTGGCTTATTAGAAGGTCCTTTCCTTTCATGGTGGTGGTGAACCAATCCCCGGTGGTCATAGTTGAATATCTGGTTCTCATAGTGGCTCCTAACTTGGGAGAGTGGTAAGAGGATGTTTAGGGCAGCACAGGCTCCAGCAGGTGACTTTCGGCATTTGGGCTGAGGCTGTGGGCAGCTGTCTAACTAACCATGTGCACCATTGACCCTAACCGTGGACACCTGTCTCTTACCCGCCCTGGGGAACTGCAGTTTTGCCAAGCGTCTACACAAGACTGTGCGGCGGCTGGTGCCCGACTGTGATGTCCGCTTCCTCCGCTCCGAGGATGGTAGTGGCAAAGGTGCAGCCATGGTGACGGCGGTGGCTTACCGGCTGGCCGATCAACACCGTGCTCGCCAGAAGACACTAGAGCCTCTGAAGCTGAGCCGTGAGCAGCTGTTGGAGGTCAAAAGGAGGATGAAGGTAGAAATGGAGCGAGGTCTGAGCAAGGAGACTCATGCCATTGCCCCTGTCAAGATGCTGCCCACCTACGTGTGTGCCACCCCTGATGGCACAGGTATGCAGCAAGGTTGCCTCCTGGCTCACATGGTGGGCCTTTGTCCTGGTGTTGATGCCCTGGGAGGGCTCCCTTAGCATTAGCATTGGACATTTGAACCAGAACACATTTCTTCAGCTATATTACTAGGGAGTTCTAGTCTTCGATAAACTCAAAAAAGGTGCTCCTCTGCAAACAGTGGTAATGGTCTATACTTATTGAATGCTTACTGTGTGTCAGAGCACTTTATATGTATGAATTTATTTAATCTTTAACTGTTAAAAAATAGCAGCAGTTAATTCTATGTATTAACCTATGTTTGACAGAAAACTGAGGCACAGAGAAATTAAGTAAGACACCTGCGTGAATTCACACAACTAGAAAATGTCAGAGCTGGGATTCAAACCCAGGAATTCAGGTTCTAGAACAGCTCTTGCAACTATCACCCTGGTCTGGGTCAGGACTGGCAAACTGGACCATGGGCTGAATCTGGCCCACCACCTGTTTTTGTATATAAGGTTTTATTATTACATAGCCGTGCCCATGTGTCTGCCTATTGCTCACGGTTGTTTTGCACTGTCTTGGCAAAGTTGAGTGATGGCAGCAAAAACCGCATGACCAACAGAACCTAAAATGTTTGCTGTCTGGGCCTCTACAGAAAAAGATTTCTGATCCCTGCTGTAAGTCTTACAACCTTGGAAGTGGTGGTCTTAGTTCCAATTCAGAGAAGACAATGGTTGAGCAGGCCAGTGTAACACAGTAGGTGCAGGATTCAGAGACAGAGACTGGGATTTGGTCCCTGCTCTACCCAGTTCTGGTTGTATGGCCCTGGGCAAGTGATTTAAACTATCAGCCAGGTCCCAATCATCCATGAGAGAGGAATGCAGTGTCTCCCTCGAGGGCCTGCCTGAGGGTTTAACCGAGACTCTGTGTGAGGCACATGACACTCTGTAATTGTCCAAAAAGGGAGAGTTTTCTCATTTTAAAGGTATTCCTTTCCATTTTCTTCAGGGAACTGAACTCTGCTGTTCCTTCTCTTGAATGTAATATAAGGTGGCATTTGATGGAACAGAAATGGTGTATTTGGATAGTTTTAAGTATACTGTCTCAGCTTCCCCAGGTTCTGCCCCAACTTATCACCTCCCTGGGCTTATTTTCCAGAGAAAGGGGACTTCTTGGCCTTGGACCTTGGAGGAACAAACTTCCGGGTCCTGCTGGTGCGTGTTCGGAACGGGAAGTGGGGTGGAGTGGAGATGCACAACAAGATCTACGCTATCCCGCAGGAGGTCATGCATGGCACCGGGGACGAGGTGAGTGGGCGGTGCCTCCAGGAGGGGATTGCTCTTGCTTTCGAGGACAGTGTTTTCTCTGCTCACCTGTGACCCTGGGGAGGGCTAGCTGGACCCAGGGCTCCAGCCTGGTCTTGATTCAGGTTTGTGCTTGAGCTTGCATTTCTTCTGGAGGGAAAGAAACACTGAGGTCTTGCACAGGTCCTGCTGGGGGCAGCCTGCCCTGCCCAGGGCCCCTCCCTCAGCATCTAACCTCTCCCTGCAGCTCTTTGACCACATTGTCCAGTGCATCGCTGACTTCCTCGAGTATATGGGCATGAAGGGCGTGTCCCTGCCTCTGGGTTTTACCTTCTCCTTCCCCTGCCAGCAGAACAGCCTGGATGAGGTAACAGCACCTTCCTGGAGGGCTCTCCTGTGGTATTGTTTCTAAACCAGTCAGGAATGGAGCAGGGGAGAAAGTTGAGCTGAGACTAAGGAAAGAAGGACGTGAGCGACCAGGTGGGAGGGGCCCCTTGATGGGAATGAATGAGTTGAGGCTGGTGGAGGTTAAGTAGCTTAGCTCAGCTGTAACAGCCTTTGGGGTGATGATGATGTTAACAACTGGCTGGGTGTGGTGACTTATACCTGTAATCTTAGCACTTTGGGAGGCTGAGGCAGGAGGATTGCTTGAGGCCAGGATTTCAAGACCAGCCTAGGCAACATAGCAAGACCCCATCTCTATTGAATATGTGTGTGTGTGTGTGTGTGTGTGTGTGTGTGTGTATAGAAACAATTAGCATTTTTTTTAAGCACTTACTTCATGCCAGGTTCTATGTTAGGCTTCTCATGTGCATTATCTCATTTACCCTCACAACAATCACGTAAGAGAGGTGTTTGAATACCCATTCTACAGAAAGGAAAATAAGCCCTGCAGAGGTGCTGGGTATCTTGCTCCAAGTCATAATAGCTTGGGAGTGGTCAAGCTCTGATTTGGATTCTGGGTTCCTGATGCCTGAGCCTGTGCTCTCAGTTATGCTGTGGGGCTCCTGAGGCCCTTGTTGTGGGCGCAGGGCATTTTCGTGCCATCTCCTGTTGTTTGGTTGCGCTGGCTCTTCTCTGGTCTCACCTTTGCTTCTCACCCTTCTTCAACTTGCCTTGGATAAATGAATTAGGTGCGTGAGGATCCCGGATGCTCTGGACTTGAGTGCCCCGAGAAATGGAGGAGAGCTGAGTAGGCAGTGCTGGATCTGCTGATGGCGGGTAGCCCTGGGCACTGGATGTCAGGAGACTTTTTTAAAGCAGTTGTGTCTGTCTCAGTTACGTAGAAGCGCACGTGCACGCTGCAGGTGTGCAGTATGTTGTGCATGTCACTGCCAGGTATAAAAGGCAGGCATGGCTCCTACCTTTAGATGCTTGCAAATAAGCTGGGCTGATGAAGCAAGCTCAGAAAAGGAACAGCTGCTGTTTGGAATGTGGCCCCAGTGGGATTGATACTGAAGCCCCTAGGACATGGAGTGAGACAGATGTTAATCTGAGCACATACCTGGGGGACGTCAGGAAGACTGGGAACAAGTCAGAAGAATGAGTTGATGGGAAAGAAAGGTGGGCAGGCTGATCAGTGTGGAGAGGGGCATGTAGGTCGGAGCAAGTGACAGGAAGAGCTGGGCCAGCACAGAAAAGCCTACCCCAGTGGAAAGACCAGCATTTCCCATAGGGCCCCTGCCACAGTGGCCCTCAACTTGGCTGCACTGAGTTTTGTAAATGCCTCCTCCTCCTCCTTATCTGAGAGAATTCCCCATGTGCACTAGTATAATTAAGGTTTTACGAAGTTCTGCAATAAAAACTCTGCTTAGTCTGGTATTTCTCAACACCTATTCACATTCATCTAGTGTTAACCAGACCAGCATTAATACTTAATGTACTACTTAATGGACCATTACTTATTATAATAAAGATGTTAGGAACAAACTTGTTCAATAGGGAGATAGTAGATAAATAATTATGACCTACTTACTGCTTAGTATCAGTCACTAGTTATTTGTAAGAAATTTTAATCACATGAGAAAATACTGGTGGTATGACTAAAAGTTTTCAAACTTTTTTTTAGAAATGGTAATCTCTTTATGATATAGAAAAATGGAAACTAGAACTAATGGGATGATAAAAACATAACACTCCATTGTATATCCTCTTCTAGACTTTCTACCGGAATGTTTGCAAGCAGTTACTGTCTTAACTTTTCATGCCAACAGGTTATATATTTATTTATCTATTTACCTGGGAAACCGGAAGGCATGCTACCTGTTTCTGTCTGAGTTGTGAGATTCCAGGCCATTGTATTAGATTTTATTCTGTATTCCAGGTTTCTGTGAGGAGCACTGTGTTAGGTCTAGAGTCATCAAAATTAAGAGCAAACAAAGCAGAAGTCATTTCTCTCTGTGGGCTCTGGCAAGATCCTCCTGTGATGGGGAAACTCACCAGTGCAGAGGCGCGTTCCCGCCCCCTGACCTTTCCCAGCTTCTGGCCTGGGGCAGGCCTCCCAGCTGTTGGGCCCCTGCTTGCCTTATCAGTAAGGATCACCTGAAATAATGTCATTGGAACATTCCATAAACACAAAATTTTGTCAGAGATGCAAAGCTAACTTGTAGAGAGCTGGGTAGAATAAGCATACACTTGGTCTGGTCGTGGGTGTGTTAGACAGTGCTCTGACGGCATGTGCTTTGTTTTTCTGAATCCCCTGGGATCTGAACACTGTGTGGCACCTCCAGGTTGATGTGAATGAAACAGCAAGCTGATAGGCCTGAATCCCTCAGCAAGGCCTGGAGAAATCTTGCAAGTGGGTGGGTTATGAGCACACAGCTCATTTATGGAAGCCGAGCTGTTGGGTAAGGGGTCTGAAGCCCTGAGGCTTGTTTCCTGGAGGGCTGTGGCAGCAGAGAGGGCATCAGGGAATAAAACCCGAAGTATTTCTCCTAGGTTCTCCCAGGTTCAGAGCCTTCATGCATCTGCTCCCAGAAGACAACATTGAAGGCAAGGGGCCCACTGAGGATGCTGAGGAGGAACCTGGAGTTGTTTCCCTCACTAAAAAAACTCAGGGTGGTGGCAAAGCCTAGTCACCCAGCTGTGGGCAAAGCACTTGTTCACCAGATGCTGGAGTTTGAAAATTAAGAGACGTTCTCCATGTTGAAAACACTTTCCCAGTTGAAAAAAGAAAAAAGAAAATTAAGAGACGTACACCGACCCTTCTGATGTAAAGGATAGGGACAGAACAAACTGCTTTGCCCAGTGAGGAAACCAAGCATATAGGAAGTTGCACAGCGGGGGCAGCTGCATGGTGCTTATGAGCCCATTCACTGGGATCAGCGGGCCTTAGAGTGCGTCCTGCTTCTTTCTTCCAAGCTGTAGGCCTTGAGCAAGTTACTCCAGAACCTCGGTTTCCTGTGAAGTGGCTGTAAACATGATAGATGTTCCACAAAGGTGCTGTGAGGATTAAGTGATATAATGCATCATCTATTCGTAGCCCAGTCCCTGCTACAAGTAGCTGCTCAATACCTTAGGAACAGTTTAGACTAATTTGTGGGTGAGATGATTGGTGACTCCAGGGGATGTGTCTGACCTGTGAGGTTGAGAGCTAGAAGTACCGCTAGATCCCCAGAACTGACCTGGGAACCCTTCCCTGATGCTTCCCTCTCCATGCTTGTGTGTGATTTTTAGAGCATCCTCCTCAAGTGGACAAAAGGTTTCAAGGCGTCTGGCTGCGAGGGTGAGGACGTGGTGACCCTGCTGAAGGAAGCGATCCACCGGCGAGAGGTAGGAGAGACATGGGACGAGGCCTGATGTGTCACCTCCTCGACAACTGACCTGGTCTGTGTGCTCAGAAAGTGAGGGCAACATTAAATGTGGCTGCATGGGTTGGGAAGAAGATTAACTCAAATCATTCAGCAATTGAGTGTGCACTGTGTGTCAAGCCATGCTCTCAGCACTGGGGGTTCAGGAGTGACCACAACAAAGCTTTATTCTATAAACAAATAAGTCCATAACCTAGTGGCAATTGCTATTAAGAGCTATGAGGCTGGGCGTGATGGCTCACGACTGTAATCCCAACACTTTGGGAGGCTGAGGCGGGTGGATCACCTGAGGTCAGGAGTTCGAGACCAGCCTGACCAACATGGAGAAACCCCCGTCTCTACTAAAAATACAAAAAATTAGCCAGGCGTGATGGTGCTTGCCTGTAATCCCAGCTTCTTGGGGAGGCTGAAGCAGGAGAATCACTTGAACCTGGGAGGCAGAGGTTGTGGTGAGCCAAGATTGTGCCTTTGCACTTCAGCCTGGGCAACAAGAGTGAAACTCCATCTTAAAAAAAAAAAAAAAGAGCTATGAAACATACACATACACAAGAGTAAAAGAATAAAAGAATGGCTATTCCATAAGCAGAGCAGCCTAGGGCTGCTGGTTGCCCATTTTTATGGTTATTTCTTGATTACATGCTAAACAAGGGGCAGATTATTCATGCCTCCCCTTTTAAGACCATACAGAATTAAAAAAAAAAGAAAAGGAGCGAAGTGGGGTGAGGAGAGCAGATGGAGAAAGTGTGCTGGAAAGGGGCACTGTTAAATAGCACAGCCGGGGAGGGTCTCCGAAGAGGCGACATTTAAGCACAGACCTGAATGGAATAAACAACCAGCCATGGTGTCTGAGATATATTTTATATACCTATAAATCTCCCATGCACATGTCTGAAAGGAGAATATTGGGGTTCACCTGTGAACCGGGCATCTGCTTTTGCCCTCTCAGGAGTTTGACCTGGATGTGGTTGCTGTGGTGAACGATACAGTCGGAACTATGATGACCTGTGGCTTTGAAGACCCTCACTGTGAAGTTGGCCTCATTGTTGGTAAGGACCCAGACTGTCCTTTCCACATGGGGATGCCCAGCCTTGGGTGTAGGGGGGACAGTGCTGAGCGAGGCCCTGGTGTCCTGTGATTGGCAGGCACAGGCAGCAATGCCTGCTACATGGAGGAGATGCGCAATGTGGAACTGGTGGAAGGAGAAGAGGGGCGGATGTGTGTGAACATGGAATGGGGGGCCTTCGGGGACAATGGATGCCTAGATGACTTCCGCACGGAATTTGATGTGGCTGTGGATGAGCTTTCACTCAACCCTGGCAAGCAGAGGTAGGCGCTCAACTGGGGCCCTGTTAAGTATATTCCAGAACTGTATGGCAACAAGTGATCAGAGCTTCCACAGTGGCATCTCCCAGGATGCTCATTCTTGTGAGATGTTAATAAAAGAAGTTTCCTTGGAAAGGGATTCTTGTCAAATGCACCTGGAAAGTTCTGAGTTAGTAAATGTAAGAAGTATCTTCCACCCTGAAGCTTGGGAGAACAGGTGGGAGAATACTAGAACCTAGGTCTGGCACTCTAAGGAGAAACAGAAAGTTGAAGCACCTGCTGCTGCCAGGCTGAAGAGCATCTCTTGGGTGATGCAGACAGGAACCAAGCCTCTCCCTCCTCCATCCTCCAGTGCCGAGCACCCCCTGTTGTCAGAATTGAGCAAGGGGCCAGCCCCAGTGTCTCAAGGCCCTGTACATGGTGGAGGAGCGGGGTCTGAGCTGAGAGACAATAGTTTAAGATCTAACACACTTTGCATTAAGATGTTGTCTGTAGTGCTTCCTAACTAGATTAATCAGACACCCTAGTTCTGCTGAGTACACCTTGCAAAACGTGTCCAGAATAGAAGTCAGACTAAAATGCCTCTGGGGGCCAGGCAGGTGACATTCATGAAGGAAGTAGGCTGGTCCAAGTGATGGGGTATTGGTTGAAACTAGGGACCTAGTTTTTTTCAAGGCAGGATTCAGGACCAAAAGACCCTCAAGCCACTGCATAGTCATGTTTAATTCCAGTGGCCAGGACAGGGGCCCTACAGCTGGCAGTAGTTACTTGAGTAATGATGATTAAGTCCAAGAGAATGCATGCTGAATGCCTAGGGAGGTTAAAGATTAAGACTCAGCATCCTACCCGTTCCTAGAAGTCCGGTGGGGCTATGGTGTGTGTTCCTTCTTGAGTTGCTTCTTGAAGGTTCGAAATAAGCCTTGGAAAGGAAATGAGTTCCTTTTCCTGCAGGTTCCTTTCCAAGGCTTATTTCCCCAGGAGCCCCACATGCCTCAGGCACTGTGGTCAGTGTTGCTGGAGGTTGTGGATTAGCATGCAAGGACACCAGGGATCCTGCCCAAGTGAATCAAGTAGCAATTCCTTCCCATCAGGGGATCCTGCCTGTCTGCCACTTCTGATGCACTGGGGGGTGACTAAGCTGGCCTTTCCCGTCTCCACACATCCCTCCACCTTCCTACTTAACTTCCATCAATGTTACCCGCATTGCAGGTACGAGAAAATGATCAGTGGAATGTACCTGGGTGAGATTGTCCGTAACATTCTCATCGATTTCACCAAGCGTGGGCTGCTCTTCCGAGGCCGCATCTCAGAGCGGCTCAAGACAAGGGGCATCTTTGAAACCAAGTTCTTGTCTCAGATTGAGAGGTGAGAACTTAGGGCTCAGGGTAGCGGGGGGCCATGTTCTTCTTTTTACTCATTAACAGACAAACTGAAAGATTTCCATAGCTCAGGGCATGACTCATACAAAGGTCAGTTGAGTGGTGAACACATTCATATCTATAGTGTTTACTAAAAGCACATTACAGACAGTTGTCATTTTAAGGGCAAACAGCACATTTTCATGAAAGTTTGTGCTAAGCTTGGCCTGAGGTCATGCAAAGTGATATTTTTGGGTTTTAGACCATACATCAAAGGTAGAAAGATACCTGCTTATAGCATGTAAACTGAAATGCACAGAGGAAGATAACTTATGAAAGCATCTGCACTCAGCTTGACAGCCCTTCCTAACTGCTGGCTGTAGTAATCAGGCAGCCAGGATTGAGTAAGGGTTGGAACGTCAAGCAGTGCAGATACATGCCACACGGTGGTTCATTAGAGCAAAGCCTCCCTCCTACAGTCAAATGATGGAAAATCTGCTCCAAATTAGAACCGTGAAGTTCAGAGCCCTTTAAAAATTAATGCCGTGTCATTACTCTCAGGGCAGAGAAGAACAGGAACTAGACAACTGACATGGGTAGACCCCTCAGGCATTTGCACCAGTGAATACAAAGATATGTTCTAGCTTACAGGTTTGTTATGTTCAAGGAGGTGATTCCAGGCTTCTAAAATAGTTTTCTCTATATTTTATTTTCTTTCTACAACTATATTTACACTTGCTTCATAAATAGCATGTAAATACAGTTCAGACCACCCAGAGCAGCAGGGCAGAAATAAAGCAGGAGTCTAATGCTGCTTGGTTAATTCCTGTCCTGCAGACCCATGAACAGCAGCGAGAGAATGGCCATGGAAGAGCTTTGTAACTCACTGCTGCCATAAACAGTGAATTTCCTTTGTTTTGAGTATCCACTTTGTAGTAGCAATGCTCTGCTTCGACTAGGGAGAATGGAATGAGGAACTGTTTGAATTCCTGTCACCCTCAAGAAGAGTCAATGTGGTCCAGTAGGATGAGCACTGGTCTGAAATTAGGAATGGGAACTACCTCGCAGGGCCAGCTCCTGGAGAGCCAGACCCCCACAGAGCCTCCCCTATAAAGGACTCAGGCCCTGGTGTGGTAGGCTACCAGCCCTTTTGGTGCATGACTGAATGCTTGCTGTCTTCCTCCCACCCCAGTGACTGCCTGGCCCTGCTGCAAGTCCGAGCCATCCTGCAACACTTGGGCCTCGAGAGCACCTGTGACGACAGCATCATCGTTAAGGAGGTGTGCACTGTGGTGGCCCGGCGGGCAGCCCAGCTCTGTGGCGCAGGCATGGCCGCCGTGGTGGACAAGATACGAGAAAACCGTGGGCTGGACACTCTCAAAGTGACAGTGGGTGTGGATGGGACCCTCTACAAGCTACATCCTCAGTAAGTGACTGACCCCAACCCTCTCTGCTTACCTTCTTTCTGTCTCTTTGTTCTTTCCCTTGCTTTCTCTCTTTCCTTTGTTACTTTATAGTGAATTATCAGCCATTCCAAACAGTGTATATAATACATATATTAATAGCCAGAAGTAGGCCTGTGTTTCACCCCTCATTGTGGGAACCTCCCTTCTGAGCCCCTCCACAATGGTGTCCTCACTCTCCCATGCCAGGGGTAAGTGTTGTGCTGAATCAGTCCCTTGCTTTTCTTTTCTGCCCCATATATCTAGGTTTGCATCCATATTGTTTAGTCTTACTTTTTTTTGAAACTGCCATAAATGGAATCACATGGTATCCCTTCTCTGGCTGGTTTTTCTCACACAGCGTTTATGTTGAGATGCATCCTTATTGAAGAATACAGTTGTAGTTCATTAATTTTCAGAGCTGTATAGTGTACCTTTGATTATATAGCAGTTTCTTCTGTCATTGAAGTGATATTTGGGTTATTTCTATATTTTGACCATTATAAACAGTGCTACTGTGAACATTCTGGCAAATGTATGCTAGAACTCTGGAGCAAGATTTTTCTCAACATTCTAGAGCAGCGGTTGGCAAGCAACAGCCAGACTGTTATTGTACGTAAAGTTTTGCTGGGACACAGTCATGCTCGTTTGCTCAGGTATTGTCTCTGGCTGCAGAGTTGTCGTAGCTGACCCCAGAGCCCACAGAGCTGAAGGTATTTACTGCTTGGCCCTTTTTAGGAAAAGATTGTCATCCCTCTGTGTGTGAGTGCTACATTTTCTTCTCTGGTTGTTCTTTTCCCTCTCTTTCTCCATCTCTCTTGTTTTCCCCCTTGTTGACATTTCTCTTCTCTCTTATTCCTTGTTTTGCATATGTTTTCAACAATTTATTTTGAAGTCTGGAAATGCCCCAAATCCTCTCTCCTGGGAGCCTAGAAGCCTTTTAGCAAAAGGTTAAAAGAGTAGATCTGTGCCCTGGCTCAGGCAGTATGCACAGGGCTGAGTGAAGAATGGGTAGTGTTTGATTGAACTTCACTTGCTCTTACTAGGTTCATTTCAAGGAGTTGGAGCTCTCCCAGAGTCTACACAGTTAATGAAAAGGGAGGAACTTTAGAAGTTCTCAGTCTCTTTTTTGGGATATCAGTGTCATTGTAAAAATAAGAGCCTTGGCTCCAGATGAGGATTGGGAGGGGGACAGAAGCTCAGCCACCAACCCTGGGACGTGGCATCCTCAGCTTTGCAGTTAGGGAGGGCGTCCTGATCCCGCTATGTTGGGGCAGATTATGACTCTCTCTTTATCTGGTCTATATAGGAAGGATCTGTGATCACTGTGGTATCCTAACAGTGACTCTGTAAGTCACTCCTTTTGCTTCCAGTGGCATTTTGGAGCATATGTGGGTCTGATATGAGTCAATATACCTAGAAAGTAGAAAATCACATTCCTGAGTCCTGGTCTCCCCCTCCAGAGTTTGTGAACAAGTTGTGCTCTTCTGTTAGGCACACTTGTGGTTTCCATGGTTATTTGTTGAACTTCTTTTTTATTGATTAGTTTTAAGAACACAACTTGCCAGGATCTCAGACATTTGTCCCAGAGTTGAATCCTAGCTCTCCCAATGGCTGATGTGATGTGGAACTTAGGCATAGTACCAGTATCTCCAAGCCATAGTTTGCTGGTACTTAATATATAGAAAATGTTTAATACATTATAGCTGTCATCTTTCTCCTCTTATTTATTTCTGGGTTTCCAGCATTGCTTCTTAGCTTTCCATTTCTAAGTGCACAAACCGATCATGACTAAGATTATTTTTCCCGTGTCTTCCTCCCACCTTTTCCAGCTTTGCCAAAGTCATGCATGAGACAGTGAAGGACCTAGCTCCAAAATGTGATGTGTCTTTCCTGCAGTCAGAAGATGGCAGTGGGAAGGGGGCGGCGCTCATCACTGCTGTGGCCTGCCGCATCCGTGAGGCTGGACAACGATAGAACCCCTGAAATCTGAAGGGACTTCCTTTTTCTCTCCCTCTTCTCTGTTTTAAATTATAATATGTCATCCCCTCGTGTCGGAAACAGACCCTTTGGCTTTTCCTTGGCAGAGAGGACCCCATTGGACTGGGTTTTGTCTCTGCATCTCCTCATTATAGAGCTTGGTGCCCGAGCTTGGCCCTACTGAGATACAGTTCCAAGAAAGGATTTGTTCACATGCATCACATGTGAACACTGGTTCTCTTAAAACATGAAAATTCTCACCCTTAGAAATCCCCTTTGCCGAATTCCATGTCCCTGTATAATTCTACAGGATGGGGACACTAATGAAGATGTGGTTGCCTCACCTTGGAGCCAGAACGTGACATTTCTAAGTGAGGTGCATCCCCCAGCACTGATGTTGATACTGATTCTCCTGTCAGAGATCTGGGAGGTCTCCACTGAGGATGTGAGCCTGATTGTCTTACAGGCAGATGTGGGGAGGGTAGAAGGGAGACAAAGAGGGAAATCCATGGATGTCCATGGAGCAGCCCCTCTTCAACCTCATCTACAAGCATTCGCCCTGTGGATTCCAGCATTTACTATTCCTGGAATCAAGGAATCCCAACACCAAAGCCAGGAGTTGATGCATCTTGCAGTTGGGCTAGTCGTCGCATCTCAGTGGGGCGCAAACATCATCCATAAGCAATGGACCTTTGGGGGAGGGGGAGTTTTTGGTTTATCTTACAAAATTTTCCTGCAAAAATGGAAACACTGTATTTTCATTTTAATTTATTTTTGAAATTTTATTTAGTTCTTGAAGTAGATCTGCTCCTTCATTTTGACATGTAATGGTCAGTTGTACGTAATGTATTTATATGTTAATTTGCTATGTACATAGATATTCAGGCCCTGTCCAAATTGGCCTCAGTGTAGTTAAAGAGTGGAAGGGGAAGATACTAGTCATAGAAATACCTCATTCGCCTGTGGGAAAGGGAAGCCTCTTCAGGGTGAGTGAATGGCAAAGTGGTTGCTTTCTGGTCCCTCCTTCCCCTGCGGTCTTGGAAGTGTGTGGAGGGCAGGGACAGGGACAGAGGCTGGGCCAGTGGACTGAAGAGACCACAGCAGTTGGCTCCTCTGTCTAGAGATTTTTGTGGGGTAATATTTCATGAGATGTTAAGCAAAGGAAACCAAAGGAATCATTTCAAATAGACTCGTGGCTTAGAAATTTTTATTCTTGGGGCAGTCAGGAGTATTCTAAAGCTTTCTGACAGGATAAAGGAAGTCACCAAATTTGTTTTTAATTGTATCTAATCCTCAACAACAAACCAAAACAGAACAATTAAACAACCAAACAAAACCTCAGGGACAACATTTTTGGTGTATTTGTGCCCTCCCAGCAAGTTTCACCTTGGGTTTGTCTTTTAAATGTTTTACAAGAATTGTTGTCCATGTGCTTCCCTAGGCTGAGCTGGTATTGGTCTGCTGACCTGTTTTTGTGGTCTTTTTTTTTTTATTTTTTATTTATTTTTTTTTTTTTTTTTTTATGCAATATTTCTTTCCAGCTATTGGGAGGGATGAGAGTGGCTTAAAAACTTCCGTCCCTACTTTTCAAGAGTGCAGTTGATTCTGAATCTGAAAGCCCGCCTCTGTCCTAAAATACACACAAGCACAGACATTAAACCTGGATACTACATAATAAGGAGGGATGTAACTATTGAATTGGATACAAGGATCAGAATGGAAAGATGGAAAGAAATTCATGAAATTGCACCCAGTTTTTGTATATTTATCAAACTTGTCCTGAGAATAGTGTCTAATTATGCAACGTTTAAACAAAGTTGGGTGTAATTAGGTGAAAATGGCCCAGCTCCTCTCAGGAGCACAGAGGGGCGAGGGGCTGGTCCTTCCCGTTTGCTCCTGTCTGGCTTTCCTGTCAGGTGTAGCACCTCTGCTACTTCCATCTGCACTAATTGACCCAGAATGTGAGTGTTTTCCTGCTACACAAAAGCCAAAAGCTTTCGCGTAGGTTTTAGGATCACTAAAAGGTGCCCAGAAAATAGAGACGAATTTTAACTTAAATTTTAAGCTTGAAGATTAGATACTATCTTTGAAGTTACACTTTTTTTTTTTTTTTTAAGGTAGAGATGTAGATGTGTAGGTATTAAAGATGTGTTGTTGGTTTCCAAAAAGGAACACTGGAAAATAAATTTTGAATGGTTGTGTTTCCAGAATTAGGTTGACAGTCCCTTGCTGACACGACTTTGCTTTGTGTAAATACAGTGGATCTCAATCTTTGGGGTGTGCTGAATGGCCAATCATCTCAAATCCTTGAGCACTCGGTCTAGTGAAGATGTCGTCATTATGTATAATAAATAACGTTTAATTAACTATGTGATGTTAACTATTATTAATAAATTTTAACATTTTCCAAAATACCGAAATGTGTGATTCATGAGTGTGTTTAAGAGTGTAGTCATCTTCTGGTCATGTCAGTACTTCCTGGCCAGCCTGATGAGTAACTTGTGGGTGTCTTGATTTTGAGGGTGTGTGTTTTGAGAGGCATGTGGCCTTTTCCAGAAACTCAGTCCCAATGGAACTAGAAGGCAGCTTTTCCTGGGCTGCCTTTGACCCCTTAGATTTCAAGCCACTGAAGAGCTATGGCTAGCCCTGCAGTCTACTGTTTAAATGGCTTGGCTGAAATTAGCACAACCCTCAGGGTCTCTGGTTAGTCTTAGTTGGCAAATGTGATTCATATTTGGGATATGTAGCTCTCATGTGAACATCTAAAAAGCACTTGCCTCTGTCCTCTTCCCTACCAACTTTTCTCCTTTCCTCATTAAGCAGAACACAGGTCTGGAGAATAAATTCATCAAAGACCTTGGTCAAGGTGAGATTGGCTAATATGGGATTTGCCTAGTTTTGCTTTTTCAAAAGAAAAAATAGCATAAATGGCTAACTTTTACATGAGCAATTCAAATATAATTGTTAAGAATGAGTAAATTAGGTGAGTAAATGGGATAAATGCTTATAATTCAGCTTGTCATCATTTCAAAAACTTTCAGGTAACTGAAAATCATAAAGTCATGTTTGATTAAATAATAGATAATCATGAAATGTCTGACTCATTTCTAAGTTAAAATACAGAAATATTAATTATTGAACATAAGTTTAGGTTTATGTATTTTGACATATTATTGTACATGGTATAGAAAAGATAGGATCCGTTAATAAACAACTACAACAACCATATGGAGGGAAAATATATTTATTAAGCTCCTGGCCTCAAGCAATCCTCCTGCCTCAGCCTCCCAGAATGATGGAATTACAGGTGTGAGCCACCATGTCTGGCCAGGAATACGTATTTCTAAAAAATATACAATGGTTTTCATCCACAAATACTTACATAAAACAATTTAAAATAACTTACTTCCTAGGTTTTCAATAGAAATTATGGCTACTGGCCGGGAGCGGTGGCTCACGCCTGTAATCCCAGCACTTTGGGAGGCCGAGGCAGGCAGATCACAAGGTCAAGAGATCAAGACCATCCTGGCCAACATGGTGAAACCCCATCTCTACTGAAAAATACAAAAATTAGCTGGGTGTGATGGCATGTGCCTGTAGTCCCAGCTACTTGCGAGGCTGAGGCAGAATTGCTTGAACCCAGGAGGTGGAGATTACAGTGAGCTGAGATTGCATCACTGCACTCCAGCCTGGCGCCTGGCGACAGAGCAAGACTCTGTCTCAAAAAAAAAAAAAAAAAAGAAATTATGGCTACTAAGAGTTAAAATTATAATTAATATGTGTAATTAAAACTACTATGTATAAGAAACAATATACAGAGTATATGAGGAAAGTAAGATGTTACAAGTTATGAAGATAGGATTTTATTGTAGAAAGAAATGTTTTTGTCTGGGAGATGTTATTTAAAGTTCATTTTACAATAAATGAATAAAGGAAGAAATGATGTAGATGAAAATGAATATAAGAAGTTGGGGGAAAGAGCATAAAAAAGGTGTAAGATTATAAAAGTTTTATGAAAATGTTGTATGGTCAAAACTGACTGAGATTGAATGTACTTACTAGGTTTTATTAAAATTAGCTTTAGTATTGACGATACACTGATACAAAAGCAAAATTTGTTTTTCTCTTTTACATAAGATTTTCTTGCATCAATAAGAGATAATAAAAGACTTTGTTCACCTTTTGCACAAAGTACAAAAAAAATTTTAAAGGGAAGAGAGAGAAAAACAGATTCTGTATGCCTCATGCTGTCTTTTTTAGTTCTTTTGATTACTTGAAAAACTAAGTAGCTATTAAAGAGTGAAGATTTTTGCTTATTGAAATACTTTTATTACCACTTTGGCAAAATGAATGACTATTACTTTGCGGTTACCTGTGATCCTATTTTGATCAAGCATTTTAAACCTTGGACATATTTGACAGCCCTCCCAAATCAAATTTTAAATTCTAAGTTAAATTTTTTGACTTTGAATTAAATTTTGGACATCACAGAAGGGCCCCTGGGTGTCCAAGAGAGACATATTAGGCTTATTTGTATTTTAAAATCATACAAGAAGTATCATCAAGTAAAAAAATGGCATTTAACTTTATTCAAGTTACATTTGTATAAATATGTTATTAATATGTGGTCAAAATTATATAAAATTCCAAAATGCTGATATGTTGTGGCATGTTATCAGTCATAATATTGCTGCTAAGTTAAATTGTTGTAAACCACAGAAAATAACAAATGATTATCTTTGGTAGAAATGGGGGGACTGAAGAGAGAAAACTATGTTTCAGAAGAAAACCTATAATACATCCATTATTAGATTTCATTTCATTGTTTTGGGGATTTTTTTCTTTATGTGCAATTTGAACAGAATCTTACATTCTTATGGTTTTCTTCAATACCTTGCTGCAAGTCTCTAAACTGATGTATCCAATTTTTCTTCCATATTTTTCTCTAACTTGAAATCACTAAAAATTAAAACTGTCCTTTTTCTGAGGTTGAGGCTATTCAATCCAGCTTTCAAAAAAACTTATACTACTGGAAAGGAGTCCCAATCCATACTCCAAGACAGGGTTCTTGGATCTCACGCAAGAAAGAATTCAAGGCAAATATGTACAGTAAAATGGAAGCAAGTTTTTATTAAGAAGATAAAGGACAGGGGCAGGGCGCGGTGGCTCACGCCTGTAATCCCAGCACTTTGGGAGG